TCAGTTTTATTAATTGTGATCATAGACTATTGTGTGACAGCCACACTGCTCCCAAATGAATGCGACGCAGATTCAAACAGTGACTATAAGGCTTGTGACAACACTATGATTGTTCTTATTTCAAAGGCTGTGTGCATAGAAAATGCATGCATGATGCGTGGCAGTAAGGAGGGAACCAACGGAGCCCTCCATCTTATGACGTCACTGATCAAACCGGCTGAAAAAACAATGTATGAACTACTGGTTGCTGATGGACGGTTCAAGTAAGTCCATGTTAATTCATTGTCATTTTTGCTGTTTTTTATGCCCTGTGCACTGATTGCTTATGTAACTACTATTTTAATTGCAAAATATGTACTTTTTAAAGGAAGCACGCCACAACATTTAAAGGAAAGTAATAACATCATTCTTTTAGAAATGAACATTTATTCTAAAAATTCATGGAAAATGCCAATATTCAGTTCATGACATTCAAAACTTCTGCAATTACAGTAGTAGGACATGTTAAATCATCCAACTTATTATTTTCAAAAGCCCAGAAGGGAACGGAAATAAACAGGCTTATAACATCCACATGGTCTTAAATACCTAATTTATTCCTAGATTCCTTTATGTTTTTTGAAAAAAATGTTTTTGTTTGTTTGATTTTATTCAAATCCAAATAGGATTTTCTTATCACTGATGGAGACTGCAGGTCTAGAGGATCTGCTGAAGCAGAACGGTGCCTACACTGTTTTTGTACCAACTGATGATGCCTTTGAGGGCCTTAGTCAAGAGGACTTTGAATTGCTCAAAAGTAAGTTTTGAAAATGAAATTATGTGTTGAAAACGTCTGAAAACATATATCTGGAATATTTTTGTGAGGAAGTCATGTAATGTGAGGATGAGGGAAAAACAATGATAATGTCTGACGAAAAAGAATTTTTTGTGCTCTGCTGTAATTGACAGGTGATGTAAACGCTTTAAGAACCATTCTTCTCTACCACTTCAGTGATGGTATCTTCATCAATGGAGGATTAGAGAAACGAGTGACTTACCTGCTTAGAACCCTGCAGGGCATCAACCTTCATCTTAAATCAGTACGATATAATTATTGACCATGCGTATGTGAGAGCATGTCACACTCAATTCAAACCTTTCACCCAGTTTTCCTGCCATTTGCCTCTGTCTGGTTTTGTATTTGCTCATACCATACTCCCCTCTCTTCCATTGTTCAGTCAGATACTCAGTCAAGTTCTCATTTCAGGCTGAAAAGACTTAATTGATGGACATTGGAAAGCAAAATAAGGATAGCAGGTTATGCATCAAGGGGACGGGACACTGACTGATAGATATTTGTACTGAAGTTGAACTTGAGCATTTATTATTGTATTTTAAAGAAAGTAGATGAAAACTAAATGGCACTTAAGATACAGCTGACTTATGCAAAATTTGTGTATATATATATATATATAGATATGTACATATATATTTTTCTTTCTTCAATTATCTTTTATCTTTAAGAACTAAAACTTTTTTCTCTCGGTTCCTGCCAGGTGAACAACTCTGTTACTGTCAACTCAGTGGATGTGCCAGAAGGTGACATAATGGCAAATAATGGTGTGATCCAAGTGGTGAAGAATGTTCTCTATCCTGGTGGTGAGAACAACATACACTCACGTAGCGTGAACTTTGTCCAACGATGTAATGTGTTTAGTTGATATAACACAACTGATGCATTTACTTACAGACCTACCTGTGGGCCGTCAGGACCTCCTGGCTCTGCTGCAGAAGATAATCAAGTACATTCAGATACAGGTAGGGAAGGAAATGAACAAATGTGTGAATGTTGGTTGATCAAATAGAATTTTCTGTATTAGGCATTAAGATCATCTACTTTTTAATTTGGCCCTATTCTTTAGTTCATTTCAGGATTCTCTTATACTGAAATTCCACTCACCTTCATAAGTAAGTGAAATCTCTCCTCTCATTCCTTTATTATACATAGACTATAATCTGATTTGCAATATTTTGACATTTATTTCGTTACCTCAGAGAAGACCATCACAACCACTCATTATGTTGAAGGTAAGACCAGTAACTAATCGTCATTTCAAAGTTAAATCTATTCTCTAATAAAATATATATGAGTTACCTTTCCATTGGGTCTTCAGCTATACCCTCTACTTTTTCTACATTTTCCACACTATCTTCTTTCAAAGATGCCTCACTTCCATTTGAATCCCATGGCATATCTAATCAATTCCTTTAGGACTGATGTAATTAGACTCTCACATCAGTGGGTCAGAGACCATGAAGGACTATTGGATGTTGCTTAGCCCAGCCACTTAACCACCAGTTGGGAGCATGCCTCGACATATTGGGTAACATGAGATAAATATAAAGATAATTAGTCCTATTACATCAACGGAAGAGTTGGAGCTCTGAACCCTTCAAGATTGTTTTATTCTGGACAATAGTAATGCAAATGTAACAAATGTTGAAACGTAGATGTGTTTGTGGCTTAATGTCTCTAGGCAAACCAAACAATGTGAACAGGAGAGGTAATATGTGTGCAATGCACTTGTGGTAGTGCTTACAAGTAGGCATCATTCTGTTTCATAGGTGCAGCACATTTGAGTTTTACTACTTTAAAAGCTGTCCACAAGAGCAACAATAGAAGGCTGCTGCTGTCTCATAACAAATTAGACAGCATCTCAACCACTTTTACATGTGGTTGAGATGCTACAGTAGAAGTTCTAATTATAGGAACCTGCTGTAAACCCTTCTAAAAAGGGATGGAAATACAGAATGTGAATCCTTCATTTTTCATCAGTCTAATTTATTAAATGTTTATTTATGCAGAGTAACTATGACTCATAAATTTAGTACACACTGCCACAGTTGCTTATACATTCCTTGGATTTATGCTTTCCTAAATCACATTCTTACTTTTAAACTGACCAGCATCTCTTAATGCTGATATGTGGACGATCTGATATGATTCTGGCTTTGATTACCAGTTTGGGCCATATATTAAGAGACCTCAGGCCAAAGGTTAGAGGAGCTCACCTATCTGTCAGCTTTCATCTCCTCATGGCCTACTTAAACACTGTCAAACAAACAAAAAACTTACAGGGATAAAACATTACATGAATACAAAATGTGAAAGGCTGAAGTTTATGTTAAGGATGATTTGAAGCTGAGATATTTATTGCCAGAAAAGGATCAAGTGTTGCTCATGCCTCAGCCCCCAGATATTTGAAACAGCTGTCAAGATTTTGTTGAACACTGTAACTGTAGCCAATGTTTAAAATACAATTTGTCAACATGACAAAATTAAGGAGAGAAAGAAAGCTGACCATAGAAACCAACGATGTAACCAACATGGAAAATAAAGGCAGTAGTTATCAAAGTTTGTCTTGTTTTATAATACATGATGGACTTGTACTTATGTAACGCTTTTCCAGTCAAACTGACCTCTCAAAGCACTTTACACTACATGTCATTCACCCACTCAAACACACATTCACACACCAGTGTTTACTCTCAAAGGCATTTCCAACGACATAACCCTACCCTAGGGGTCCATGGGGATAGACATCAGCAATTTGCTCCAGTTAATAACAGGACAAGCAGCTTCTCCTTCCAAGATCATAACTTTTTTTAATCAAATTTCCCATCTCATCAGAGCTTTGTGTCAATGTCAACCGAGATTCCTGAAGCAAATGCACAAATTATTACTATGACAGCTTTACCTAGACACAATCAAAATCATTCTCATAAAGAGCTGGAGAGTAAATAAAATGTCAAAATCCAATATTAAACTTTATTTTTCATGATAATGTGACAATCTAATCCAGTTCAGGGCATATCGTTTTAAAGGTCTTCTTTTCAAGATGTTTTCCACTTTAAATTTTCACAGATATGATAACCTTTTTTGACTTTCTATATTGATACTTATTCATTCTTTGTCTGTCTCTAGTCCCAGAGTCAACAAAAGTGATCAGAGTCATTGAAGGGGATCCATCTGTTACCAAGGTTACCAGGGTTATTGAAGGAGAACCATCTGTTACCAAGGTTACCAGGGTTATTGAAGGAGCACCATCTG